GTCGGGTGCGGTAGCTCATGCCTATAATCCCAGCACTTGGGAGGCCAAGGCAGGTGGATTGCCTGAGCTCAGGAGTTTGAGACCAGCCCGAGGTAGAGCAAAACTCCATCTCTAAAAATAGCAGGGCACTGTGGCAGGCACCTGTATCTCAGCTACTCGGGAAGCTAAGGCAAGAGGATTGTTTGAGCCCAAGCTTTTGAGGTTGCTGTGAGCCATGATGCCATGGCACTACTGAGGGTGACAAAGTGAGACTTTGTCTAAAAAAAAAAAATTACTTGAAGGTATAGTGTTAAGAGTAAAAGTCCTCTGTCTTCCTAAGTCCCCTCTTCCCATTCTTTACAGACAAATTTCTCAGGCCATTCACTTGATATTTTTTCTAAGCACGGGTGACATACATGTAGAGTTATGTAAATATGCTGAGTGCAGCTTTTATTTAATACATCTTGAACCACTGTCTTTAATGACTGCATAGAATCTACTGTACTCATCTTCTGTGTTAACGTTCAGTGTGTTTTTGCTGATAGAAAACAATGCAAGGAGCATTTTTGCATACTTCTGCATTCTTGTGCAGGAATATCTAGCTGTTTAAATTCATTTACAGGTTTCTTCTTAGCATGTGTATCACTAGTATCAAGTGAAAATACCATAACTTAGATGTGACATTGGTTAATTTAAGAGAATGAAGTTCAAGAGCCTGCTGCAAGCATCCAGCTTCCCACAAAACATGGACATCTGTTCAGACTGAGACTCACTCTTTTTCCCAGGCCTGGGCCCTCTGGAGCTTCTCTGTATCATTATAGTAGTTATTCACAGGGAAGGTAATCACAAGGGCTGTGGCATTATTGTAGTTTTCGTCTAGAAAGGAAAAATGTGACATTAAGAAGCAGATCACAAACATGCAGAAAATTAGATATATACAAGGGGAAAAAAATCACAAAACAGGTAGTTGATTCCTCACAGGAGCTACAGATTATTCTGTGCTCTAAGAATCAAATAGGAGTTTACTGAACTCGTATGTAGTTCTGTTAATGAATAAAAAAAATTCTTTATCTGAAGTAGGTACAGTTATCATTCAGGAAGAATTTTTTTCTTTTGTTAATTACAAAGTATGTGCATGGTAAAAATTTCAAATAGAGAAGAAAGGTGTTCGGTGAAAATTCTCTTTTCACATTCCCTTCTTAGGTCTCCTCCCAGTACTGTGGCCATCTGTGACTCCACAGGTACTCCACAAGCACACAAGTAAACCTGTGTATTCTCCCCCTTTCCTTCTTAATTACACTCACATACTTAC